GATCTCCTGTTGAGTTTGTAGGTGTTCAGAATGGTTTGATCCCTATCCAGCTGAATTCCTGAGAGGAGATGAAATCCAGGTCTCCTACTCCTCCGCCATCTTGCTCCGCCCTCCTTATTATTTCTTTTTTAAGGAGAGGGAGAAGCAGGCTCCCCACTGAGCAGGGCGCCCAATTTGGGTCTCGATCCCAAGACCCTGGGAGCATGACCTGAGCCCAAAGCAGACACCCAACTGACTGAGCCACCCAGGCACCCCCGGTTCTTACCATTTCTATTTGCAACTGGTGTGACCAGGAAGCAGAGACCACAACCAAAGAAATACCATGGAAAACCAGAATTATACTGCACTCATTTTGTATCTGAACTTAAGTAATTGCTCAAATAAGAAAAAACTGTTGCTTCCTTGGAGGTCCAACTGTCAGCTCTGTAATTAAATCACAGTTTTAATTCAGACCCCTCCTTTGTTCTCTACCCACTAGGTGTGAGGCTCGATATAAGGGGCCCTGGCTAAGAGCGTACCTAATTAGAACAATAGACGTGAAAGCCAACAAACTCTTCTTTCCACCAGTAAAGCAACAATTTGTGAGCCAGGTGAGAATCGCTCCCATTTCCCCTTCTTACCTGTCATGTCCCTGAGCTACTCACCCAGGTAAGTGTACCGTCTGTTCATGATTGCTTCATCGTTCAGTTTGAAATAGGTGTTGTCCGTAAGGTTCAGCACTTTGACCGTGCCGGCCCAATAAAATGACCCTGGGGCACCCATCACCACCAGCTCCTACCAAAGAGAAACCCAAAGGTAAATAAACAGAGAAGGAAGCTGAGGAGGGGAGCAGGTGGTACAATGAGAAACACAGCCACAGCCAACAACTCAAAGATACCTCACATGAAGGACTTTCTTCAGCTGAGCAACAAAAACAAAACACCAGATTCCTTGGCATTATGGAATCCATCATACATGCAAGGTCATCAGGAATAAAGACGAAGATAGCCGAGCAAGGTGACAGAATGAGGAACATACCAGGTTCCTATGCTACCCACGGATAAGCTCTTGCGTACTTCCTCACCTTCACAACGGGATCAAATCAGGATATGACAAATATTGCACATTGTCCTAAATTGCAGAATTCCAGGAAACAGTGCTCATGAAAAGACACCACCCCCTCACCCAGCCTGGCCCCCAACCCCACCTGCCCCATACAGAGCAAGGAGAAAACAATGACCAGAAGCATCTTTGCAAAAAACCGTGCACTAACACTCCAAGGAAATCCCCGCTCCCCACCAGTCCTCGCTCAGGATGCCCTTCTCAGAGAATAGAATCTGGATGCAAAAGGAATGTAGAAACAAAGGTAAAAGTTGTCTGAGCTTAGTCTAAATGTCTCCTGCTTATTGAGAGCCTTGTGGGCAGACTGAAAGTTGCTTTTGGGGCCACTGTGGCCCATTGCAAAATCACAACAAAATCAAGAGAGCAGAGGGGCACACCAAGGGAAGGACAGAGACTTTTGACAGCCAGAGACAGCACTGCTATTAAAAACAGACCCAAGGAGCGCCTGGGTGGCTCAGTCGTTAAGCGTCTGCCTTCAGCTCAGGTCATGATCCCAGGGTCCTGAGATCGAGCCCCGCGTGGGCTCCCTGCTCTGCAGGGTGCCTGCTTCTCCCTCTCCCACTCCCCCTGCTTGTGTTCCCTCTCTCGCTGTGTCTCTCTCTGTCAAATAAATAAATAAAATCTTTAAAGAAAAAAAAAAACAGACCCAAGAGGGGCACCTGGGTGGCTCAGTCAGCTAAGTGTCCGACTCTTGGTTTTGGCTCAGGTCATGATCTCATGGGTCATGGGATCTAGCCCTGCACTGAGCCCTTGGGATCCATGCTCAGTGGGGAGTCTGCTTGAGATTCTCTCCCTCTGCCCCTCTTCCCACTCGCATGTGCATGCTCTCTCTCCCTAAAATAAATAAATAAATCTTAGGGGAAAAAAAAGACCCAGAAACACAAAGACACAGTGGTCTCCAGCATTTGCATCAGGGGCAAATGATCCTGTGCCCTCAATGGGGCCAAGAGCAGGTTTGTGCTACAAAACCATCTAATGAGCAATACTGATGAGAATCCCAAGTGCTTCCAAATGATGCACCTACCTAAGGAAGTCAGCACAGATAATAACTACATGCCTTCACCCACAAGAATAGGCATCGTCACTATGCTAAAGAAAGTTGGAAATGATCTAGGGGCGCCTGGGTGGCTCAGTCATTAAGCGTCTGCCTTAGGCTCAGGTCATGATCCAGTGTCCTGGGATCGAGCCCTGCATGGGGCTCCTGGCTCAGCAGGAAGCCTGCTTCTCCCTCTGCCCCTCACCCCTGCCCGTGCTTTCTCTCTGTCTCTTTCAAGTAAATAGGTAAAATCTTAAAAAAAAAAAAAAAAGTTGGAAATGATCTACACATCTAGCAGCTGGCATCCTAAATCACGGTACGCCCATTCAACAGCATCATGCAGCAGTAAAAACGCTGTAGATGTAACAGCACTGAGACAGGGCCACAAAGTGCTGAGTTAACGAGGACAGACCAAATAACATGCAGACTATGATCACGTTTTATAAATGGAAAAAAAAAATGTGTACAGACAGACAAAACAGAGACCAGAAGGAGAAGCCCCAAACGTTTATGTTTTTTTTCCACTGGGTGACAGGATTACAGGGATCCCTCCTCTCCCCCCTTCTTCTGTCACTCTCTCTTTCTCTGTGTGTCTCTCTCTCTCATCCCTAAAATTTATTTTGTGTTTTTCAAAATCCTATTTTTTATTTTTTTAAAGATTTTATTTATTTATTTGAGAAAGAGAGCACAAGTTGGGGGGAGGGGCCAGAGGGAGAAGCAGACTCCCCACTGAGCAGGGAGCCCGATGCAGGGCTTGATCCCAGGACCCTGGGATCATGACCTGAGCTGAAGGCAGCTGCTTAACTGACTGAGCCACCCAGGCACCCAGTGTTTCTTCAAAATTCTAGAACAATGATTAAACACTGACAAGGAAGTCACCTCAGAAGACGCACAACACATGCAAAATGGAGCACACACTGTGTGAGGCGAACGTGATAACCACTACACTACGGAAACCGGCCGAGCACACACTGTGTGGAAACTGTTCTGAGGAGAGGTGCCCACTGCCTCCTTTCATCCACTGGATGACCCCGGCTGAGGCTTTCATTCCTTCCTTCCCCAGCAGGGAATCCCTTCTTTTGATTATCTATCAAAATGTCTACACTGCAGTAAGAAACAATAAAAACTATTTTCCTAACAAAATCATTAATTTTTCATTCAATAATATTAAGCATCTACTATCATGTATGAAAGCTTATACTAGATACACAGATCAATAAAGTCCCTTTGTATGACATTCCCAGGGGAAGGCAACATGGAAACATACAAATTATTTTAGAAAAAAAATTCTATCCAAAAGGGTTCAAATAAAGACAATTTCAGGGGAAACCCCTCAGCGGCACAAAAACCCTATAGGTGCAGACCATACAGACAGTGGACACCAGACGCCGCAATGTCATCGAGGCCTCTCAGTGCGAAAACACACCCACCGCTCCCTTGGCCCTTCGAGTTCTATTTCAGAAACGTCCATCCAGGCTGACCCCTCTCTGCAGAGCTGGCCTCACCACTGTCAGAAGCTGCTGCTTTCTGACAAGTCCCTGAAGGCTAGATCTTACTACAGGGATCCTGAGTTTCTGATGACAATTCGTAAAGTCACACTGAATTCCGAGAGCAAATGTCTGAACAAGCCAGAGCCATCTAAAGAGAAAGAAAAGAAAGAGCTCACAGGCAGGACAGCACGTGTGCAACCACGGTGGCAACAGGGCAATGCTTTGAACGACGCATGTGCTGTGGTCCATTTGGGAAAGAACCTTAAACAGGAGGGTGTGAGCACAGACAGAAGACAAGCCACCAGATCCTGCCTGAATGGCGTGTTGCTGGTGATTCAGGAAGGTGGAGACCAGGAAAGACTGTGGAGGGACACTGCATTCAGGTTCTGAGGTCCTAGCCACACCCCCAAGGGAGCTGTTGATAAGTTGGACATTCTGAGGCATCTCACTGTTTTATAAAAACATATCACTTCCTGCACTCAGAGTTCATCACTGAAAAAATAGGTGGTCAGTGCATTCATTCACTCCTGCCCCTATACTCTTCTGTATAAGGGGCTGTGCTAGTTCTAGAAGGAACATTAGACAAACGATCAGTTCATCAGAGGAGAGAGACTTTTTCCTTGGCCTTGAGCTCAGAAAGGAATTTGGAATCAGGTGTCCAAACACACAGGGCATGGAAGAACATAACGACCACTGGCCTCAACACCTGTAGTACACAGCATATATAGAGCTTTCTCCACCTGCAGCTCTTCATAAGCCAAAGCCCTGAGCATGACCAGAGACCCATAAGGCTCTCTGGTACACCAGGTGGTAGACACATTGTTTTCTGATGATTTAAATCAATCCAATCCATGAGAGCTTCATGTCTAACATATCCCCACACCCGCTCTCTCAAACACCACAAAGAGGTTAAGACAAGGTAATCTCTCTCCTCAAAAACCTTTAAACCAAAGCTATTGTCTGTCTGCCCTCTCCTCTTCGTGCTCATGCCTCCTTCTCCCTCGGTTCAAACTAGAGAACCTGAGGCTGAGCCTGAGACCCGCGGGGCTGGGGCTGGGGCAGAGGAGGGGCAGGAAAACAGCATCTTCCTGGAACTCCCTGTATTTGGTTTTCCCATCCAGTAGAGATGATGCCTGTGCCCTTTGTCACTGTTCACCAGTGCCAGGAAAATGGTGTCATTGCTTAGCTCCCCACCACCCAGGAACAGCCAATGCAAACGGCACACAGAAACGCAAGCTTCTCTGCAAGCCAAAGGCCACACCACCTAACTCCCATGTGGAATCCCTTCCATAAATAGTGCGGGCCTTTTCCCAAGGTACATTTATTAGCAGAACCTCCAGAGGCATAGGGGCATGTGGGTGTGCCTGAGAAGCCACGGACTTTTCTCTGTACACCGCTGCAACCTGGTGCGAGTGGGGGAGGGGGGCAGAGGGGCACTCAGGATCTACAGCAGAAGTCTGCACCCCAGACTTCTACCCAGATGTCTCCAGGCTTCCATGGCAGTGCTCCAATGCTGGCGGGTTGGTCCATGTCTTCTCTTGCTACTCACAAGTATCTGTCTCTGTCACCCTAGGCTACAAAAATAAATAAGGTTCCCAGGAAGCTCTCCTTTATCCTCAGTGGCAGGCTAAAACTCACATGGCATCTGTAGCTCAAACAGCTTTGGTAACCCCTGGGTCACAGACCCTCAGGTCAAGCAGGCACCTCGGGCCAGAGTACTTGGGAGCCACATGGCTGCATCTGGAAGGCCACAGAAGCACATCCAGCTTGAGGGGTAGCTGCCTGCCCTGTGCAGGGACAGCCCAGTCCACAGCGAAAGCCAGCCCAAGTAACGGGGTCAGCAGGAGGGCAGGGGAGGGGAAAAGTGCTGCCTGACCCCTTCAACCACATTTCCTGCTCAGCCTCCAACAGCTGAAGTTCCAGAAACAAGAGAGGCAGTGAGTTCAAAGACCTCCTGTTTAGGGAGGCCAAAGCTCAGGGCAGCCAGAAGACAGTGGCCGGGTCAGAGGACTGAGCCTCCCACTCACTGGCCCCACAAACCCCCATCCATGTACCGCGGCCCCACTGCTGTTTGCCCACGGTTCCCAGAGCCTGGAGTTTCAATAGGTCCTCTCGTTCTTGCTCACCTGGAGCTTGCGCAGGCCCCTGGGCTCCCCTCCACCCCTGCCCTTTCTGCTCCTCCCACCAAGCCCTCCTTCTACCCAGCCCCAATGCCCTGTCTTCCCTGACCTTCTGCCTGGTGAGACCATAATGACACCCCCTCCCTGGGAACTCCTTCTGTCCCTCAGTTCTCCATCAACATCACTGATGAATTCTCATTTCTGCAATGAGTCTACTTTTTCTCTTCCCACTGTCGAAAGGAGGTCCCCTCCCCCGCAACCCCCCGCTCCACCCTGAGCACACCAGTCCCCTCAGAGAGGTACTAGCAATGACCAAATCAGAGCTTCCAACTCAGGTTGGGTTCTGGTCCCTGTATCCAAGTATCTTCTAAAAACACCTACAAGTGTCCCATCCATCACCTCACACTGCATGTGTTGAAAGCAGGCCCATTCGTTGACCTTCCCCAGTGATTCTTCTCTAGACAGGCTTCTTCCCACTGGGGCATCACTGTTCTCCAGAACCCTGCCTTAGAACCTACTTCTTCCATCCCACAGTCCTCTGGCCACCCAGCCCACTGATACCGCCTTAATATTCTCCAATTCCCCTGGTCATTTTTTATTCCTGTTGTTTTGTAGCTGGACCACATCATAGCCTCACACCTGGCCTCCCTCCTGGCGCTCCCACTTTTAAAGTCCTGGGCACACCAGCCCGCAAGGTCTCTCTCTCCCAGCACTGCACCCATGGTGCCCGTCACCTGCTTGTGGACTTACAGTGGTGCCCTGTTGCCTCTTCGGCAGAGTCAGACTCTGCTAGACTTTACCAGAGAAACGACAGCCACGGAGGTTATATAATCTCAGTGTGCACAGAGATGGAAGGAGAGCGTGAGCTCGGCATATGGCAGGATGGTACTTCAAATCAATGGGGATAAGAAAACCTGGTTAGCAGGCCAATATGAGAACAATCAACTACACATTTAGGAAAACAATGCAGTTTGTTTCTACCATATAATGTTTGCAAAAAGAAATCCAAGATGTATTGAAGAGAGAAATCTTAAAAAAAAAAAAAACTGTAAAAATTCTAGAAGAAATTATAGGTAGATATTTTGTATTCTTAGGAGAGGGATGATCTTTCTGAGAAGTCTAGAATCCAGAGAGAAAATGATTGATGGATTTGACAAACATGACTGTGGGACAGCAGTACAATAAAGACATCAGAAGCCAACTCAGACTGATAAAAAAAATTTACAACACATATAAGAAATAAGAGATTAGTGTTGAAACTATCTTGCAAGTTCCTAAAAATCAGTTAATCAAAAATAAGAAAAAACAAGAGAATAATGGGCCAAGAACATAAACAAGCAATTTCTAAAAAGACAAATGGCCAATATTTGAAGACTACTACACTAATAATCAGATAAAGGGACATCATAGCAAAATGAGGTACCTTTTTATAATGACAAGATCTGGTACTGGTGAGAGGCTGTAGGAACAATGACACACAACTGGGGGGCTGTCGGTTGGCAAACACTTCCGGAGTGCAATTTGCCAGAATGTACCCAAATTCAAATGTTGGATAGCTTTGGCCCCAGCAATTCCTCTGCTACATTTCTCTTCTGCAGAAATGTGTATTTGTGCACAAAAATGCCACGTGTGGGGACCTCCAGCCCCATGCTGCCAGGGAGTCTGGTACGTTCCAGCAGCAGTCCCAAGTCTCTGAGGCTGGAGGAGATGAGACTAGGAGGGCAGGTAACAGGGGAGGCAGGAAAGGTAGGAAGCCCCGGGCAGCCAAGTGGAAGAGTCTGGATCTTACTGTAAGTATGATGGGGATCCAGAAGGTTCCGAGCAAAGGAGCGCCACAGTATTTTTCTCATTTCGAGAAGGTAGCTGTGGCTTCTGTGTGGGAAGAGGCTGTGGCGAGGCAAGGTGGGAGTGGGAAATTGGGAGGGTCCTGCAGTGGCGTCCTGGGCAAAACAATGGTGCCCTAGGCTTATGGGAAACAGTGGAGGCAGAGAGAAATGGAGGCCTCTGGGATAGGTTCTGGGAGCACAGGAAGTGGGACTCCCTGATGGCTTGGATGCAGGAGAGGAAATAAGAGAGGAATCTTGCTCATTTGGGTCTAGGCAGCAAGGACGATGGGTGGCACCATCCACCGGGCCTCCCACGGAACTCTGTATGGATGGTCATAAGAATCTCACCAAAGTGACAGCGAAGGGGTATAGTAAGAATTAGAGGGTGCAGACTGCAGGGTTGGTGGAGAAGCATGTCATGTTTGTTGGTCTGAGAGTGAAAGACACCTTTTCTGACTTTTCTACCCTTTCCATGATGCTTTCTGAATGAGATGCTGCATTGCCGATTGTCTATTTTCTGAATCTAAATAGCAACGGCAGAAATTAAGGTAGGCAGTTTTGCTCCAGATCGGAAAGCTCTGGACACTGGTGGGTGTCCCCTCCTGCAGCTCTCTGCTCTCCTGGAGCAGGAGAAGGAGAGTGGGTGTCAGAAAGCCAGGCCCATGGGCTAGGACACACAGTGTGGATTTTAATCTACCATGTGATGGGAAGCCACAGAGACAGAATGACAGAGTTTGATTCTGAAAGATTCCTCAGGCTACTGTGCAGAAAACACAGGGGCGGGGGTGGAGAACAGATGTAGACTGAGGTGATGGAAATGTTCTCAAGCTAGAGAGGCCGTGGTTGCACAACACTGTCAATGTACTAAATACCACTGGATTGTTTGCTTCCAAATGGTCAAAATGGTCAATTTCATGTTATGTGTATTTTACTACCAAAAAAAAAAAAAAAAAGAACAGATGCAGGTAGACCAGTTCAAGACCAGAATATCTTCAGGTGATGATAATGGCTTTTCCAGAAGGGTGATGTGGTGGGAAATTAAAGCTGTCACATTTGGGATATGCTTAGGAGGTTAAAAGAATAGGATTATAGATTAATTAGAAATAAAAAGTACTTTTTTGTTTGGGCCTGAGCAACTCCATGGATGCCTGAGCCACTTATAGGACCTGGCATGGAGCTTTGTACACGGCAGACAATCAAAAGATGTTTGGGAAATGAGGAGTTTATGTGAAGGGTGAACTCACAGTAGGCAAGAATCACTTAAGAACAGTCCGTAAAGTTGTACCGTCCGGCCAAAGATCATGGTACGACTGCATGACTGCACAGATACAGAAGTATTCAAGTCTACTGTCCTTTGGAATCTGGGAAAGGGGCTGGCTGAGTTATGTATAAAATCATAAAATCTCTCCATGGAGTTTGGAAGAACGATAGGAGGTGATGCTTAATATATCCTCCTCACTGCCAGCGATGAGACACAAACTTGACTGAGCACCATCTCACCTGCACCCCTTCGAATCGGTTCCTTCCATGGGGCGCAGGGTCCAGAGAACTCCTTAGAGAAATTGTCCAAATAGGTGTCTCCTCCCAATGAGCCCACCCACTCCCCACCCCAGTAGTCTCTGGCCAGCAGGAGCCCCCACCTGTGTCAATCACTTTCCCAGGAGGTCACATCCAGGGACCAGAATCTACTCACTCACAGCTCAAGTATGTGGGGGCATCGGCAATTCCATCTCAAGGAACTACCGAGACCACAATCCACCAGGAAACGAACAGCAGCAAGAAAGCAGAAATGCCCAAGAGCCGACACCCACCTCAGTGAAGAAGCCTGCTATCCCAGCCTGGCAGGAGCCGTGTTCCTCTCCATACTTCTTCTTATACTCTAGAGGGGAGGGAAGGAAAGAAGCAAACCACAGCCTCGTCAGTGTGTGCTAGTCGTGTGGAGGAGCCGCCGAGAGTGCTGGCCACTTCCCCGTGCACCGCTGCGGGCTGGGCCCAGGGACGCCTTCCAGACTGGCGCGCGGAAGGAAAGTCTCCAGAATCCACTAGACCGCAAAACTCCAGGCTCTGGTGCCATCGGGCCCTGAGGCTGCCAAGCGCCCCAGCAGACTTCCTCCACGCGTGTGGGGAAAGAGAAGCAACAGTCCTGGTAATTAAGTGGGAGGCTGGTGACGATTATTTCATTTACTTCAGAAAGGATGGAGAGCCCCAGTAGGAAAAGGAGCTGAAAACATAACCCGGAAATGGCATGATGTGGCCATCTCTGTGTGGAGTCCCCTGGAAGACGACCAAGCCTCCCAACATGACACTCCACAGAACTGGAGGCAAGATGATTTCTGCCATCCAACCAGATACCAGCCAACAGAGCCTGGGGCTACAGGAACAAACCCGCTAGACCTGCTCCAGCACTCAACAGTTACTCTCTCCCTAATGGTGTTTTGGTGATGCTACCCACGGACACCTCCATCTTCCATCAAAGGGGAAGATCTCTCCAGGTCAACAGAAACAAAAATGGTTAAGTGCTTTTCCTCTACCATTCCCTCACAGTTCCCAACACCCTGACCCGACAAAGGGGCTTTCTGTGCTGCTGTTGTATTTTTAAGTTGGAAGGAAGAGGGTTTAGCATGTCCTAGGCCCTGTTAGCTACATCCACTCATGCCATTTCACTGATCTCTCATCCCTGGCAGCGCATATTGCCATCTGTGAGTAGTATAACTCCCGAGGCTCAGAGAGGTTAGGTGAATTGCCCAAAGTCACACAGCTACTAAATGGCAAAAGTCAAGATTCACATTAGTTCACCTCTGTGGCCCATCAAAGGTTCTACAGAGTGATTACACAAAACCCAGGAAATGACCAGCCAGCTGAAATCATTACATGGGTAAAGACAGAGAGATAAGAGAGATGTTCAGCTCAGATGACTCAAATTAATTACACTGCCGGATGAGGGCTCATGGCTGTCCCTGGGCACTTGTAGGCCTGGGCTACCCTACAAAATAACCCAGTGATCCCCCATGTCACCCCTGGGCTCTTGGCAAATCTCCGGTACCATTAAAGGCAATATACTTAATTTTGAAACAAAATAAATAATATGAAGGAACAATGCAGCTGTGATTGCAACAGTGCCACTTCCTGCAGCTCGAGAGCGTGTGAGAGAGAAGGGGGAAAAGGGCCCTGGGGAAATACACAGAGTAATTCAGTTTCTAACAACACTCACCGCAGAGCCTGGTAACATTTTCCAGTAAGTGGCCATTAACCGACTGCTAAATTACAATGGAATGTCAATTGAGTTACTCCTCTTCCTTGTGAGGGCTAAATCAGTTCCTCCCTCCTTGTCCTGTTATTCCAAGGAGAACTCACAGGCCTGCCAGAAAGCAACCCACAGACGATGGGACTCGCCTATTCTCTGCAAAGTCTTGCACCCAGGCTGGGAGGGGGTCTTGTGCAAAGTCATAAAGAGATCATGCATCAAACTGTCTGATGGCAAGAAATAATAAAAATTAATAATAAATCCTACATCAAATAGCATAATGGCAAGAAGGATCAAAATGTCCCAACCCGAACAGTTATATTATAGCTGGAAGTTCTGGCAAAAAGCATATCCACCCCCACTGACTCGAGGGGTTACATACCCAACTCTAACTCTCCAGCAAATAAAACAAGGAAAAGTCAGACCCCACCAGCTGAACAAAGCTACAGTGTAGGACACACCAGTTCAGCCTCATACATTTATGACATGAATAAGAATTACGTAGGGATCTTTCATGTATTAAAGAAAACAGTCTCGTGGTCTCCTTTGTAACGGGAACTCCAAAAATAGTAGATATGAAAACTTGTCTTTCTCCACCTCATCCCCAAACTGTGCTGGCCAGCTCTATGCCAGAAGCAGGACGCAGGGCTTCTAAAGGGGCCACAGCCATACTGGGAGCTAGGAGTACCCCACTCCTGGCCCCAGGAGAAAGTCCTGCAAAGTCAAGCCCTACTACCAGCATCCCAGCCTCAGCCAGCATCAAGGTACCGTTAGAGGCCAGCCCCAGAGTCCCCAAGCTGGGACTACCTCATCAGGGGTCTGAGGGCCAGGGACACACAGAAAACAGGCACTATCCCACTGGCTTTGACTTTCTGAGACCCCAGGGTCTACACCTGCCTTCTTGGAGTGCTCTAGAACAAGGAATCAAACTATGTGGGGCTCCTAACTAGTACCCATAACTCTGACCTCCCAGAAACTTCTGTAACTCTTGATTAACCACTTCAACTTGGAAACAGGCTCCAGTCCTAATGCTTCTACCCCTACCCCATCCCATCACACCTACTTTGGGGGGAGGCGAGGCAGCTGTGGCAACTCTAGTCTAGGAAGGCTCAACTGGTGGGACTGGATTAAACACTTTCCTATTCTGAGCCATCCACGGTCTTCCAGAACTCCTCTTCAGCTTCTCTGTGTGGGTGATCTTGCAGGGAAATGTAAATGATACCCTCTCCCCATCACAAAATGTGTCTGTTCATCACAGTTTACGGTTTATTCAACACCAAGATGAACTCATCGATCTCACTGTCCCCAACACCAGCCTTATGCCAGTTACTGGTATGGTGTACTAAGGGAAGGTGTACACACAGGTTTCTCTGTGCACAGACTCAAGGCCCAGGCGGAAATGTGAGAGGACCAGGTACCTTCCTCCAGCTGCTGAGACCCGAACTCTCCAACCTGCTTACTTGGGACCTTTGGCCCCCTGCTCTGCCAGCCCTGCCTTCTGTCTTCCAATCAGTCAGGCTCCCTGACCTCCATCCCCAGGCTGGCTTGGAAAGGAGTTGCGTCCTGGGTACCGGGAATCCTGAGTTCTCCACCCAGAGACACCACTAACCCCAGAGACCTAAGGATAGTCGTAGCTGTGAATGGAGTGCGGCAGGGACCCACAGGATTGATGTTTCTGGGCTTTCCAAACCTAGACTGGCTAATTCTACTTTGGGCAATCCCATCTCCTTTGGGGCCTCAGGAGGAACAAGATAGAATACCCAAGAAGAATTCCTCCTTCCTGAGAAGGGAGGTAGGTATGGAAACAGGAGGCTGCCCCATCCCAGTGTCCTCAAGAAACCCCCCAGGTCACAATCCCTCCCTCCATTGAGAAGTCCAGGCAGTGCAGGCTGGAAGGATGGGGTGGGACCTCCTCCAGTCTCCGGTGTTCCCAGAAGCACTTTTCCTGCGCACACACAGGCTGGGGGCCCTGCTGCGGGCGGCTGCTGGGCACGTCCACCCAGTCGCCACCTGCCCCAGGATGTGGCCGGGCAGAGAGCTACAACAAGCTGGTTCCGTCCCTCGCCGCCAGGGAACAAAACACTTCTCCACCTTGAAGCAGCAAAGGGGAATCAGGGTTGGCACGACAGCAGCCCGCTGTCCTCCTGCAACCAACCTGACACTGCTAAATCCAGGGGAACTGAATCTCGGAAGCAAAAGATGTGGTTGAACAAGGGGACCTGAAAATCACCTGGAGCACGGAGGAACAGGTTGGAAAGCTCGGTCTCTCTGCCGTGGGTGGGTTTGAGTTACTTGGCCGGCGTCACACACAATTCATTAAGTTATATGGTTCCTCCACTCTAAAAATGGTAGTATTTTCCTTGGTTTAGCTGCTGGTTTTACTAAACCCTGTTTAAACAGAAGGCAATTCAGAGAGGAAAAAATACTCATTTCCACATGTTCGCAACCCACAACTCAATACATGGAACTTACACTAATGAATTTTAATTCATTTAAGAATTAAACTGGGTGGGGTCACTTCCTGCACTCCTCCTGAAATGCTGGTGGGATAAAACCAACCCATGGAAAGATCAAGATCTATGGACAGTGTAAGATATTATTCCTACTAATCTCTTTCAAAGATAGTCTTTTTAATGCATCAATTTTAAAATTGTTTTTTTCCAGGGCGCCTGGGTGGCTCAGTCGTTAAGCGTCTGCCTTCGGCTCAGGTCATGATCCCAG